CAATATACATGTCCCCTCCAATGATTCAAATCACAACTCACCCATGCCCATCCATCCTGTGCTACTCTTGTCCTTGATCCTAACAAGTGTGCCATGGAAGCCCATCCAAAGTATATTTTCCATGCTTTCTCTTAAAACTGTAAGGATACCAGTGTTTATAGATGCTATCCAGACTTTATTTTCACTTATAACTAGCCTATAATTTTCTTTATCAATCATATGACATTCTTAACTCAGGTTCTTCTTTGTAATTCCTTTGTGTTTTATGTTACAGCCTGCTTACACCATGAGTCTCTACACTAGTCTGAGTGATTCTCATTTTTAATTCTTACAAGATTATAACGTCTCATGATTTGCAACCTTAACACAACACTGATTAGAATACGAATATTAAATAGACAGGCCTTTGTTCTAGGGAGAATGTTGGGTTCCCTAAAGGCAATTTGAAATTTCTCAAATACAAAAAGCCCACATGCCTCCTTATGTTTAATTCCAGACGAACTCATCTTCTACTTACAATATTTGTATAAGATACATATCTATTTATAGAGAGGTATAGATACATCAATAGATAGATACACATATAGGTAAATGTACATATATACATATCTATGGAGACAGACAGACAAAAAGAAACAGAGACAGAGACAGGAGCTCTTTAGGTGAAAGATATAACCTTGAACAATATATTTTTTTATGAGCACAAATAAACACAACTAAAAAAACTATTCTGTCCCTATGGTCTGTGTATACCAAGGGAGTTAATATTAATTTAGATATCAAGATCTTTATAAATACCTTAATATAAAAATAACCATAACAATAAAAAGACCAAGTTTCTACTGAACAAGTACATATGTAAATATATGAGTATATGAGGATTCATTCATTTTAGGTAAATAATACTTATAAACAATGAAAATTCACTATATACTCATCTCAATAAACATTTAATAGCCTCCTATAAGGCTGTTAATGAATGAAGGACAACCAACCACCACCATGAGACTTAAATGGTATTTATTTACCTTTCATGTTCCCATTTTGTTGCTGTTCAGTCATTTCAGCTATGTCTGACTCTTGTGACCCCATTTGGGGTTTTCTTGGAAAGGATACTGGAGTGGTTTGTGCTTTCCTTCTCTAGCTCATTTTATATAGGAGGAACTGAGGGTAAACAGGGTTAAGTGACTTGCCCAGGATCACACAGTTAGTTCCCGTATAATACACAAAACCATGGCATTCCACAGTACTAGCAAAAGTCCACACTAGCTCAAATAAGAGACAGCAAAAACACAAATAAGCTTGAGCTCTAAGCTCTTTTATCTCTGCTTTCACCTAAGTTTCTTGTAAACATTCGAATTGTGGTTTGTTAAAGACTTAACTGCTCAGGGTAAGGCTGTGACTCCAGCCTGACCAACACTGGATTAATCATTGAACCAGAGGCATCTTGATAGAGCAGTGGATACTGAGCTGAACCTGGAGTCACAAAGACATGAGTTCGAATTTGACCTCAACACTTACTAGTTGTGTAATTCTGAGTAATTCACTTAATCTCTCAGCCTCAATTTCATCATCTATAAAATGGGGATAATAATAGCTCCTCTGTCCCAGGGCTGTTGTGAGGATCAAATGAAATAGCATATGTAAAGCACCTTGCAAGCAAACCATAAAGTGCTATATAAATATCATCATCATCATCATCATCATCATCATCATCATCATCTTCATTATTAGCCATTAATTAGCTAATTAATAATTAGCCATTATTAGCCAAATAATTTTAGAGGTGAAAGAAATCAAAGATTATTTGATCCAATCCATCCCAAGACTACAGTTTACAAATAAAGAACCTTAACCCAGAGTGCTTTGCACAGGTCACACAACTAAAGGCAAAGCCAGAATTAGAATCTGTATCTCCTGATCCTCTGATCTCATTCTTTCCACAAGCTCACAAAGCCAATGTCTCCTTCTTCAGTGATGGCTCAAAAAGGCTTTCTAGTTGTCATCAATGCCAAATTAATAAACCTATACAAAGGCAATTGTCCCCTTTCAAATTAGAATATTTTCACTATATATCCCCTTATAAATGGTGTTGTGGAATAGAAATCATATTCAGTTTATCGACAGAATATGTTATATTAGGCTATTACTGTTTTGAGTATCTATGTTTTTAGGTAATATCACCAGCAAATACAATTCTACAAAATAAGGCAAATTGAGATAAGGTACTAGCATAGCTGATTTAACTTTGAGCTCTTTTTTGTTTTTGTTTTTGCCTCAGGGATACTGAAAAAAAATGCATCGTAACATTTCACATATAGTTGATTTTCAGCATGCTATTAGGAAAAAAAACACCTTTTTATTACTTAAAGCATTATATGGATGTGACTTGATATTATATTGCTTTTTAAAGAAGTGATGTGTATATCTTTGAGAGAGGAAATATGGTATAAAACAGTAGTTCCCAACTTTTTTTGGTATATTAAGGACCCTTTTCTAATGACACAGACATGAGCATGGTAGTTTTTGAGTAAAATCACATAATAACAAAATGACCATCCTTGATGCACGAATGAATTTGAGAACCTCTCACAACAACTCCATAGTTCCTATAACAGGAACCTCTGGTAAAACAGAAAGAGTTTGATTAGATGATTTCTTAGAACATCCTCAGTTCTAAAATTCATTGTTTCTAAGAGGCAATGATTTTTTAATCCCAGAATAGCTTTCTAGATGTCAAATTAAATGAAAAGCTATAGCTGAACCATACTTCATTCACATGTATAAAGATGCTTCAAACAAGCTAGAAATCAAAAGTACTTCTTTTACAGAAAGCCAAACCTATTCCAAAATGACCATTGCCTTTTAAGACAACCATTCCCTGCAGAAGTGGTGTGCAAGCTTTAGAAGAGACAAGAGCAAACACTTCTTATTCTAATAGGATAAAGGTTAAGTATAATACTGTATGACCCCATCAACTACTGACGTTCATGCCATGTTATTGTTAGTGTTGCATGTTAAGCTAGCAAATTTTCAATGAACTTGTGTTGGCTTTACCACAGACACAGATGTTAGGCGGACTCCTTTGTTCATAAGGTTCTCATTATTAACTCAAACCAAGTTGAATATTTGACTGAAGGAAAGGACCATATCATTGTTTTCAGATTTCACTCTATGACTTAACTGGACTACATCTGCCAGTTTTAGAAATACCAAGTACTTCTTGGCGCCAGCCCTGGCGTCTTGCTCTATGACTACCACCCTAAATGTTTCAGCTTGAGGAAGTCTCCTCACCATCAAAACAATTTAATAAAAACTTAAATTGTGATTAAGAGTTACTCATCAATTGACAGAATATACCCAAGTTGTGCTATTTATGAATTATTCCACATAATATTTTAAGTCCAGCAAAGAGAATTCATGTTTAAAACAGAGTAATCTAGAAAGCCAGTAAAATGTTTTCATGATTTATAAAGTCTGTGTTATACTTGAAACCATATTTATTTAATAGGTAGGCTGGCACTCTACAGGACAGTCCAATCTGCTTTAAATCTATTCTGAGCCTTTGAGTAGCTTAAGGGACTTTCTGACTATAAATTTAATTCCTCTCTTCACCTTTGTGCACCGATATCCTTTAGCATGAATGTGATAGAGATAGGCAAAGAAATGCTTAGTTTTTATATGCAAGATTATGAATTAAATAAGGTTAAAAGCCAATTATAAAAATATTAAAGGCAAAAACCCTTTAGAACTTATAAATGTGACCCTAATACTAAACATAGAAACTATTTTATAAACCCAATTAAAGATTTAAGTTAAAAAAACAATATAAAAGAAATTACAAAAGGTCATGAAATTACTGCTTCCCTGTGGATCACCGACAATAACATAAAGTGGGTAATACTGAGAAACCATCTGTGATGCTTGTTTGAAAGAGCAATGTATTCTTGCTATAGCAAAGGGCTGAGGAGCTTGCATTGTGCCCATCTCTGGGTACTGGGTAAATGCAGCCAGGTCCCCAGTATAAAAAGCTATGAAAATTTCCCCACAGTTATGAAGGATAACTTTCCTTTGCTGACTATGAGTCATTTCTCCTTCAATTCTACAGAAGGATTTCCAATTCATATCATAAAATTTTAGAATCAAATGGGACATTAGAGGTCATTTAGTTCAGTCCTCTCTCCAATGCCTGAATCCTCTCCCAACATTCCTGATAAAATCCAGCCCTAGCTTAAACATTTCCAGGGATGGAAAACTCACTGCTTCATGAGGTGTCCCAACCCATTGATGTACAGCTTTAAATATTATAAAGTTCTTCCTGATACTGAGTCAAAACATGCATTCCTGTAAATCCCACCCTTCTGCTTACATTCTACTCTTGAAAACACATGAGAACAAGTCCACTGAGGTCCCATCTACCTTATATTTTCTCCCACATGAGAATCTTTCAAGTCACTCTCTTTTCTCCAGGCTAATATCCTTAGTTCTTTAATAATTCCCCTTGCTGTATGGCTTCTAGATCCTTCATAATTTTTGTTTCCTTCCTCTGAATTATTCCAAGTAGCCTGTTGAAATCATTGAAGCCAAAACTGAATATAATAATTTATATGTTGCCTAATTAGTGCAAAGAAAAGTGAGATTATTTCTTCTCTTCCTCTGCCCATCTCCTTTCTTCTCTTTCTAAAACAGTCTCATGATGAAGGATGAAAATCTGGCACTTAGCAAGTTAAAGCTATTGAAGTTCAACACACCACACACACACACACACACACACACACACACACACTCACATGTACACAACATGTATCTGGTAAAAAAAAAAAGATGAAAGCCCACCATAGGCAAAGAAAGCTAATACCATTTAGCAGAAATACATAACTATATAATCCAACAATATTTATGGGAAGTATTGGGAAAGGTTAGTTGATACACAATGATGTGAAAAAATGATACTACTCATGTGGACATGCTACTTTAAAGCTGAATTTATCTGTGCTTACCATGCTGTATGTCTTTCATATCTAAATGAAGGCTTGACATTAATATTCCAACGGCTTGTGATCTTTTGTTGCTTAATAACTTTACAACCTGCTCAAGATAGAAAGGAAAAGAAGAAAAAGAAGGAGTTAATTTGCAATCTAAGCTCATGATTGACTAATTATTTTATAATGCTAGTTTCCAATCTAGCAAAGAAACAATTTTGTGCCAGTGCTTAAAATATGAAGGACTCACTGCCATATGTTATATTTAAAGAGATTTGCTATATTTAAGACCATTACACATGCGCATGACCCAGTGATTTATTAGTAGTCTCAATTTCATAATTTCTACCTGTTCTCTCAATACAGTGGATTATCAACAAATATTATTCCAATCATTTGAGTAATTGGTTTATTCTCTAGGATTTCAACTATTACCCATACTAGACTGATGCCTGAAATAGTAACAAAAAGTTATTTTTAATGTGGACACTTCCAACACTGGACAAGTAAAGTCAGCAAGAAAAAAAAACGTCCCATCAAGTTGTTGTCTCATAATTTTTCCCACAGAGTAGATTTAGCCTCATTTTATGCAATATTTTCAAAAACTATGCTGTTTGCTGGAAGTGCCACTATTTTTGTACTCTTCATACATTTTAGGCTGAAACTTTCCAGAGAATTAATATAGTTTCATTCACCACACCAATGGCTATATCAGATTTCAAAATGCTTCACCAATTTGTGTCTCTATTGGTTTATCCCCCGAGAACCCCAACAGAGTTTTCCTACAACAGCAATGAAGGAGTCTCTAGAGAGCAAAAAATGTTAATATACATGCATATAAAAATATATGTATACACACATATTTTCTTATATTTTATATAGGAAATAGTATATTCTCATCTTTCATATATATACTTTTCACCAATATATCTAGATTATAAGTTTCCTCTATCCCAGAAAAAGGCCATATTTATGACACTTCAAGTTTTTACAAACTCTCTGATGTTTTGTTTTACAGCTGCTTAGAAAAACATTTGGGGAAAAGAAAAACAGTTAAGGTCAAATTACCAGAAGTGACAGCTGCCTTAACAGCTATCATAATTGCCCACCAAGCTTTACTTTTTTTGGTTGAAATCGGGTCAATCAGAGAACTAATAAAATAATCTTAGCCATCTGTCACACAAAGTCACAAACTGAAACAATATTTGTAATTGTAATAATAGCTTTCTTGGTTCTCATGAGGAAGGAATAAAAAAGGGAAAAAAATTCAGAATGATCAACCACAACAGTATAACCCGTTTGTGAAACATAAGGTTAAAAAGTCTCTTCTGGGGAAGGGGCAATGTTCCACAGTACATCTCACCCTTTATGCAGATTTTGTGGTAGTAAATGGAGCAAAGTTAAATGCAAAATCTATGGCAAACCTTTTTTTTGGGCTTGTTTGTAAATGTAATTAAATCGCTGAGTTTCACTGAGGATGTTGTTACTAATTTTTAAAACTACTTGAGTTTGAAGCCACTTGGTCTACCAAAGCCACCCTATAAAAAAATCTTCACTTTCATGAAAATCTAACTTCAGAAAAATAGAACACAACAATTTCTTCTTCTGGAAATTCTAACTTTAAAAGAGCAGTATCTTCATTCTTAGCTACTTTGCCAAAACAGTTTAATCAAGATCTCAAGGGAATATATACATTTGTTTATATATTTATTTGAGTATCTGAAGCATTCAAGTTAAGAAAATATATTTTAAGTACATATTCAAAGTATTGAATGAAGGGATACAGGCTATTTGGACCATAGATTTAGGGGTCCTCAAAGGCCCTCAAGACCAACTTCCTCATTTTATACTTGAGAAAACTGAGGCAAAGGTTAAGTTTGACTTGCTTAGGGTCACATAGCTAGGTCTCTGAGGCCAGATATGCCATCAGGCCTTTCTGACCCCAGGTCCAGATGATGTTCCATCCACCTATACAGCAAAGCTTCCTAGGAAGGTACCAGGGAAGAGTACTTAAATGAAAAATATTTTAACTGGAAGATATGTAGAAGTATATTAAAGACATAGAAGATGACATATGCATGTATATATAAGTTAGTATATGCTAGTAACACAGCCTCTAGAGTACCTTCCAGTTCTAGATACATGATTCTATCATTCTATAATTGGGCAACTAAGAAATGACCTGAGCTCAGTTGATTTAGGAGAAAAGTGACCTTGAAATCAGCCAGTTCACTAAGGTGATGGGAATGGAATTTAGAGTGCAGAGGACTAAGAAGTGAATTAGTTGTGAGAAAATGGAGGTATTTGATGTATAATAAATTGTCTTTCTAGAAGTGAAGTAATGAAGAGGGAGGAATTCTACAGATACAATATTGAGGATCTAATAAAAGAGAAAGGGAAGGAATGAAAAAATAAGTCACTATGGAGGTAACTGAAAATGAAGGCAGGGGAATGTTACCAAAGTTGGACTTAGAGCTTCTGGGAATCTAAACATAAATTAACATCAAGAGGCTCGACAACAGGCAATACTGTGAAGTCATCAGTACTTGGTGCCCATAGGATTCCTTCTTTTATTCCTTCCCTCTCCTATTCCCTCCCTTTACAGA